TATAATCCTTGTAGCTGCTAAATTCAGTAACATTTTTCTGACAATATTCATAATCCTTGTAGCTGCTAAATTCAATAACAATTTTCTGACAATATTCATAATCCTTGTAGCTGCTAAATTCAGTAATATTTTTCTGACAATATTCATAATCCTTGTAGCTGCTAAATTCGGTACAATTTTCTGACAATATTCATAATCCTTGTAGCTGCTAAATTCAGTAATATTTTTCTGACAATATTCATAATCCTTGTAGCTGCTAAATTCGGTACAATTTTCTGACAATATTCATAATCCTTGTAGCAGCTAAATTCATTAACATTTTTCATAATTCTGGTAGCTGATAAATTCTGAAACGATTATCTGACGATACTGATAACTTTGAAATTTTAATAGCCTTGAAACTAGTAAATTCCGAGACAGTTTTATTTAATTTTTTTCTGTATTGACTACGCGATTCTTTTCTGAGATAAATTTATTTGTCATACTTTAAACCTTATGACGGTTTTCTGATACTACCAATGAGCCTGCTAACTGCTAAATATTAAATAACACAACTGAAAGATGATCTTTAAACTTGACAAATGATGAATTGTTTGACTGATGGTATTGATAAATGTATTAACTTATAGATTATATGATAACTTATTAACATTGTGGTTTCTGTGGCTACTCATCGACAGGGTAGGTAAAACTGGCAACAGCTGAAGTGTGGAACAGTTTGGAAAAACCTTATAACACTTGGAATCTCTGAAAGTCCGCTGGCTTGACTCTATAACGGATTACTGAGAAGTTAGTGACACTCGTTGATGAACATACTAACCATAAGATGTAAATATAAAGAGGTTATGATTTACTAGTGTGTTTATAGGCCATTTATAGAATTTATTATTTCAAGAAAAACAAGAAATTCCTGTAATGATTGAGCGTACACGATGTCCTCGACCCAAGGATCTCCCGAACGGAATGGTTCAGTGCGAACCTGAAGCCGAGGATGAGACGTATTCCCTGGGTACAGTGTGTCGGTATTACTGTAAAGAAGGCTACGAGATTCTGGACGAACAGATCGCCAATAGAGTCATTGCCTGTCAAGGGTCGACATGGAACAGTACACAGGAAGTAGAGTGTAAAAGTAAGTACAATGTAACGGAGAGCTAGAGTTTTCGTTATTACTTTCATATTGATAATAAACTTAGAAATGGTATATTAGGTATGTGTAGGAGTCAGTGTTAGAATAAATAATATTTTAGTATAAACGAAAGTAATCATTCAGTGTAAGTGAAAGTAAGCGTTCAATGTAAAAGAGTGTAATAATATTAGATGAAGTAATATCACCATCATTATCCAAAAAAAGGTAGGTCTAGGGCAGAGGGAGTAATAATTTAAGGTAAAATGAAGTGTTAGGATAAATACAAGTTTAGTGTAAGAGTGAGTATTAGCTTAACGTAAGAGTAAGCGTTATAAAGTTTGTTTTGAATTTCGCGCAAAGCTACACGAGGGCCATCTGCGCTAGCCGTCCCTAATTTAGCAGTGTAAGACTGGTCATCACCACCCACCGCCAACTCTTCGGCTACTCTTTAACCAACGAATAGTGGGATTGACCGTCACGTTATAATGCCCCCACGGCTGAAAGGGCGAGCATGTTTGGGGGGACGGGGATTCGAAACCGCGATCCTCAGATTGCGAGTCGAGAGCCTTAACCAGCTGGCCATGCTGGGCAAGCGTTATAAAGCTACCATTCAAGAGAAATCAGAGCTTCTTTAGACTGAAAGCTAATATTGTTTGAAACATCCTAATCTTCTACAATATTTTGACTGATTTTTATATTGATAACTAAATAGATTTACATAATTACGAATCCTAATATTCTCAGGAATAATGGAAGTTTGTGTGTAACGAATTTGTTGTTATGTATTTATTTTGATATGAACGTTGTTTAGATTAAGTTTATATTGAAAAACATGCATAGCTTGTAGTGTTAAATATGTATTGCGAAAACTCCCGGCTATTCTCTTAAG